GTCTGTCTGTCTGTCTGTCTGTCTGTCTGTCTGTCTGTCTGTCTGTCTGTCTGTCGGAAGATCTGTCTGAAGATCCTTGTTCTTTTCTTTCCCTATGTCTGTCCGTCGGTCTTCCTTTTTTTTTCTCAATTTGAAAATAACCGATGGGTTTTTTAAACGTCTTTTAAAGGTATTTTTACATTTTTTATCGGGGGAGGGGTAGATTTTTATGTACTTTTTTTTCGTTTTTTAAAATTTGTTTTGATTTGTTTGTTTTTTCTTTTTGTTTGATTTTTTGTTGTTGTCTATGCACTTCTCTTTGGTCAACCTCAAAGAAGAGCCAAAAGACTCTAGTTCTGTCAGTTCCTCCAGTGCCAAGTCCATGGGTGATTGGAGGGTGCTCTGGTGTGGTTTGCTCCTTCTTTCCTATCAAATATCTGTCGTCTTTTAATCCCCTCCTTTTTTTCTTTGTATGTTACTCTCTGGGTAACTCTGTTAACCTGCACTTAAATGTCCTTCTATTTGTGTTGCAATTGCAGTTAAACCTTGACTAATACGGCGTGCCCACTACGGCTCGGATCAGCCGATGGGGCCGATCGCCAGACTCGATCGCCTAAAAAACAAACGTGTTTATTTTCAGTTTCAGGCGATCGAGTCGGGCGATCGGCCCGATCCAGCCATTGTGGGCACCCCGTATAACAGTTCTTACCATTATCAAATCATCTGAGTGTATCATGAGGGGTGGTTAGAGCAGCGGCCATGGTCGGACATCACCTTCTCTCCTATACTCATAAATCTCCATCTATATTATACTAATTACTCTCTCTCTCTCTCTCTCTCTCTCTCTCTCTCTCTCTCTCTCTCTCTCTCTCTCTCTCTCTCTCTCTCTCTTCTCTCTGGCTCTTTTTAACTCCCAGTAGAGCATAGGCCATCAACAACATTTCTCCAGTGAAGCCTGTCCTGTGCTTCCTTTTCTAGCTGTTTCCATGATGTCCCCGCCTTTTCCATTTCCGCTTGTACCGCTCGCCTCCAAGTCATCTTTGGTCTTCCTTTCTTACATTTCCCTTGTGTATACTAATTGCTATGTTATACCTCCATCTATCTCTCTACAGTGAGAGGTTGGCGGGTGCTCTGGTGTGGTTTGCTATTTCTTTCCTATAAAAAAAAAACCATGTCGTTATCTCTATCTCCCCTCCTTCTTTTTGTGCTTGTTACTCTCTTGTAACACCTCTAATCTTCAGCACTTATATTATGACCTTATTGTGCTGCAAGTGCCATAAAACTCTTGCGAAAAAAAAATGTATATCCCCTCCTTTTTTTGTACATGTATTTGTTACTCTCTTGTGGCACCTCTAACTTTCGGCACTTATACGAACTTATTATGTTACAAGTGCTGTAATACTCTTACTAAAACTAAACTCAACCCATCTCTCAACAGGAGTTTCTGCTGGCAATCAACATCACGTCCAACAAGGGCGACCCTAAGGAGAAGCTGAACTGGGCCTTCTCTATGTACGACATAGACGGGAACGGGACCATTGACAAGTCGGAGATGGAGAGCATCATCAAGGTGGGTACACATGCTCGCCCGTGTTTGTTTGGTTTGTTTGTGTGTTTGTCTGCCAGTTTGTTTGTCAGCCAGTTTGTTTGTTTGATGGTTTTTTATTTGTTTTGTTTATTGGTGATGGTGGTGGTGCTGTTGTTGTTTTTGTTGTTGTGGTTGTTGTTCTTGTTACTATTGTTCTTGTTGTTGTAATACTATGTTGGTTTTGTTTTTGTTCTTTTGTTGTTTTTGCTATTGTTATTTTGTTGTTATTCTTGTTGTTGTTGTTGCTTTTGTTTTGTGTGTGCGCCTGTGTATTGATACCTTGGTTGCTTGTTGTTGTATTTGTGTGTATATTATGTGTGTGTATGTGTGTGTATATGTGTGTGTGTATCCAAAGAGACTGTTTCTATTGTTATGTGTGCGTGTGTGTGTGTGTTTGTGAGTGTATGTGTGTGTTTGTGAGTGTATGTGTGTGTGTGTGTGTG